ACACACACACAAACAAACACACACACGCGCGCACACTCACACAAACACTATCTACAAGTTCGTAGTTGTTATGTCAGCAGCAATAGAAGTTACATCCACGGGAGCCACAACAACACCATAACTTTCAACATAGCGACCAGTTCTCACCGTGCATAATGTAGAAAAATGATAGCATCATTTCACTGCTCTTTCTTTCATTCTTTCATTCATTTGTTTATTTCTAACAAATATAAGTGGGAGAGATGAAAAAAAAGACGTCACTGGAAAGTTTTACTTCATACTCCCATGTTGATTCTGTTGTCCACCTGTCCAACTTTTTTTGCGTCATATTTTGTTTTCTCTCTGCTCAAGCCAACTCATGCAAAACGTTTAAGGAAAATGAGAGTTCTTTGCATTCTCTTTAAGTTTTCAGTCTACAAATCTAGGTAGTTGTACACCTTTCATATGCGACGAAGAATTCATCGTGACGATTACTGACTTTGGTATATCACAATTTTTCTCTTAATCAACAAGAAAAGGTAAGCCAAAATGTAAAGGAACAATCTACAAATCTCCATCTAGAAGCGGAAGCTCTTCCGAGTACCAACCTTCTGTAATCTCAGAACTTCCGAGGCAAGAATTGTGAACATCGAAGGTCGCCTGTTAACAAGACCTACACTTCAGTATCCAAACCACCAGAGAATGATATTATCATAATCCTCGAAACTATTGGTCCAACACAAGGTTTATGGGTCACATAGCAACACAAACCAAAGGCTGTAGTGGATTCTTACAGCCCTTCGTGGGTCTTGTTCTACATTGCCTTTAGCCCATTTTCGCATCTCCTGCCCATATTCGCCGCCAACGCCCCTATCACCCCCAAAAGGTTGTTACAGGACGTCAGGAAAGATGGCATCCAGTCGACCAAGGATGGCAGGAGACAAGCGGCGACAAAGGTACATGGGGCTAGAATGTCGCCCGGAGCAAATGAGTGTGGTAGGGAGGGTTGTGGAGAGGGGGAGATGGGAGAGAACGGAGATAGAAAGAGAGAGGAGGGAGAAGAGGTAGAAATAGACATACAGAGAGAGGAGGAGAGAGATGGAAGGAAAGGGAGACACACAGAGAGAGGAGGAGGAAGAGGACGGGAGAGAGAGAGAGAGAGAGAGATAGAGAGAGAGAGGGGGAGGGAGAGAGACAGAGAGACAGAGAGAGACAGAGAGAGAGACAGAGAGAGAGACAGAGGGGGAGAGAGAGAGAGAGAGACAGAGACAGACAGACAGACAGACA